CGTCAGAGTGGTCTTCCATGGATTCTTTCCATTTAGTTTCTCTTGTTTTATTCCCCCCGTGGGGGTGGGCCGATCCCAACAGCAGTGCAACGCTGGGCCGACCCGTGACGAGGGGCGAGCAAGCCCACGACCTCGTCCGGTCTCAAAAATCAAATAACCTTAACGAGATTCATTCGAATCTCTATCGAAGGTTAATTCGATAAGAACAGAAACTAAACTTTGATCTTAGCCAAAAGGCCGAGAAGCGATACTGCTACAGCCGGTAAACACTTAGCCATTGCGTGCCGCAACGTATATCTCGTAGGTTTGTTGACTATCACTACTACACCTTAATCAAGTTTCACATCTGATTGTTCACCTGTTTGAAGGAACGAGATCTATCGAAAATTTTCAAGGATGTCATGAATTAAAATTGTTGAAAATTAGGAAAAGAATCGATAACAGGTCCGCTGTCATCATGGACTGATAAGTGATCCAATAGTTATGAGTTGTTCAATTTTTTCGAAGACCATCGAATCGTTCTTATTGATGTTGCATCTGCATCTGCGAATTTCCAAAAATTGCTCAAAAACAGTATTTTTGATTTTGTGATGGGGCGAACACATTTATTCCGATGGGTTCACATCATCAGATGCGCCAGCAGGGAACATACTATAACATCTCAAAGTCTCGTCCTTTCCAACAGTAGTCATAAATGCCACTAAAAATGGACTTCTATGCTCGTGCGTAGAATTTTTGGCACCATGTTGCTAAAGGAAAGGCGGGGGATAAGCACGGCAAGGGTCACCGATGAATAGGCTCCGCCCTCTCACGCGAAGAGCGTATAAAAGGCGATAGGGGCCGATTTGCTTACCGTTCGCTCCGAACACTCAGCATCAGCATCAATGGCTCGTACCAAGCAATGGGAACTGGGTCCGTCAATGAGACCTCAGGAGTTTTCGCTGCCTTGTGAAGAAAACAGATGTTGTCCGTCATTAAGAAAAAAAAAGCAGCCCGAAACACAGATGGTTTGGTTCGTAGGACCCTTGCTCAGACTAGCCGTCCTTTTTTTTACTAGTTTCCAAACATTCTCCTGAAATTTTCACGGACTCTATACATATTTTGCATAAAAAAATCATTTATTCTTCATAACATCAATGCAACTGAGACCTTGGTCTCGAATGTATTCGTTTGTGATCATATGTGGCCCTAAAGAGGGCCGTTGGGTTAGTTGAATGCAGCCAGCAGAGTGGGCGCTTATTCCTTGTCACCGGCGGTCTTCTTGGGCAGGAGAACGGCCTGGATGTTGGGCAGAACACCTCCCTGTGCGATGGTCACACCGGAGAGGAGCTTGTTGAGCTCCTCGTCGTTGCGGACGGCAAGTTGCAGATGGCGAGGGTTGATTCTGGTCTTCTTGTTGTCACGAGCAGCGTTACCGGCCAACTCGAGAACCTCAGCAGCGAGGTATTCGAGAACAGCGGCTAGGTAGACTGGAGCTCCACCTCCGATACGTCCAGCATAGTTGCCCTTGCGGAGCATACGATGAAGACGACCGACTGGGAACTGAAGTCCAGCACGCGATGATCGCGACTTCGACTTTCCTCCGGTCTTGGCTTTGCCTCCTTTTCCACGTCCAGACATGATCGACGACGACTGAGAACTGCGAGATGAACACTCACGGGATAGTTATTGGCAGAATTGGCGCAGCGATTATACACGAGGCCGTGACCATGCTCCGCCCAGCGAACACGAGAGGCGGGACATGTCCCGTGAGTGACCAGTCGGTGGGCGGAGCATAGTCATACGGCGGGTATTTAGAGGGGCTGCGACGAGCGTACCCTTATCCACTGATTGCCAGTGACCACCTCGTGTTCAACGTCCAACCATGCCACCAAAGCCGTCCGCAAAGGGAGCCAAGAAAGCCGCGAAGAGCCAGAAGGCCAGCCGTACTGGAGACAAGAAGAAGAAGCATAAGCGCAAGGAGAGCTACTCGGTCTACATCTACCGTGTGCTCAAGCAGGTGCACCCCGACACTGGTGTCTCCTCGAAAGCGATGTCCATCATGAACTCGTTCGTCAATGACGTCTTCGAACGCATCGCTGCTGAGGCATCTCGTCTGGCGCACTACAACAAGCGCTCCACGATCTCGTCTCGCGAAATCCAGACCGCCGTCCGACTGATCCTTCCCGGAGAGCTCGCCAAGCACGCCGTCTCCGAGGGCACAAAGGCCGTCACCAAGTACACCTCCAGCAAGTAAATCCTTACTTGCTTTGGTGCACGTTCATCTAACCCAACGGCCCTCTTTAGGGCCACATTTGCTATGAAAAACGAATACAAGTGTTCAGTGTTGATAAACGTATTGAATAAAGTATCATTTTCTATTGTGGCTTCCATGGAGATATGAAGACAGTAGTTTGTACGAAAAAAAAAACGGAAATCTCCCAGTCGGTGGAACTCGGCGTGGATGTTTAGCTTAACTGTTGCGATGCGTGGCTCAATTGTTGGTGAAAGTATGTAGAGCATTGATTCACTAAATTTAGTGGGGTAGATCCTTCATCACTGGAGATCGAGATTTTTCTAGTATTGGAGCGTTTTCATGCAAAACTGCTATAGGAGGAAACTGTAAGTGTGTTACGTTATTGCAGATCAGGTTCTTTCTTTGACCGTCATCGAAACGGACCACTGCGAGATCGAGTGTTCTCTTAGAACCAATAGGAAGTAGACCACCGTCTTTTTGTAGACAAAAATGTGTGCTCTTTCCCATGACCAGTTCACATCTGTATCCCGCTCTTTCGAGGGGATTCCAAAAATTATTCAATACTCATAATTGCACCTTTGCACGGAAATCTTTAGTAAAAGGCGAAAGATTTTCTCGGTTAAATGCAAAGGAGCCAGAGTTGATCAGGCCACCCATAGCGATTATGGCACTATCCGATGCGTCGTATGTTGGGCCGGTTTGAACTGACGCTCGCTGGATAGGTAAATTCTTATGAGATATCAGGAAAAAAACGTTCATGAAAACAACAAACTTATTTATTAATTCAATCCCCAGTTCAGCTTTCAGTGAAAATTCCAATTTTTTCGTCCATACAGCACGTTCTATTCGGCACCATCACAGGCCCACCGTACCCATTTCTAATTTATTCGTTACGCCCCCGTTCGCTCCGAACACTCAGCATCAGCATCAATGGTTCGTACCAAGCAAACCGCTCGTAAATCTACTGGTGGCAAGGCCCCACGAAAGCAGTCGGCTATCAAGGCTGCTAGCAAATCAGCACCGGCTACCGGTGGTGTAAAGAAGTTCATCGTTACCGTCCAGGTAAAGTCGCTCTTCGTGAAATCCGTCGTTACCAGAAGTCGACCGAGCTGCTCATCCGCAAATTGCCGTTCCAGCGCCTGGTCCGTGAAATCGCTCAGGATTTCAAGACCGATCTGCGTTTCCAATCGTCGGCTGTGATGGCTCTCCAAGAGGCCTCTGAGGCATACCTCGTCGGTCTCTTCGAAGACACCAACTTGTGCGCTATCCACGCCAAGCGTGTCACCATCATGCCCAAGGACATCCAGCTGGCTCGCCGTATCCGCGGTGAACGTGCTTAAGTTCGAGCGCTTCGCGAGTTGGATCTCAATCTAACCCTACGGCCCTCTTTAGGGCCACAAATGTCGAAAAAACGAATACATACGAGAAATATTGTGTTGAATAAAGATGTGCTATAAACTGTTGTTTATATTTGTTCATGAAAAACAGGACAGAAATGGTTGGTGGAGCTGTGTAAATGAATTGAAAAGGGTGGTTTTTTTTAGAGGGGGTAGTAGAAGTGGAGTAGAATAGGGGGCAGGGGTGATGGTGATCGTGCAGCCGATTTTGGGGGCCCCGCGTGGAGACCCGAGAGGAATGTATATAAGGGAGGCGCGTGGGTCAGTGGGCATCTCATTCGTGAGTGCAACCGCTGTCAACGCAACAATGTCCGGACGTGGAAAAGGAGGCAAGGGACTCGGCAAAGGAGGTGCCAAGCGCCATCGCAAAGTTCTTCGCGACAACATCCAAGGCATCACCAAGCCAGCCATCCGTTGTCTTACTCGCCGAGGTGGTGTGAAGCTCAGGTCTGATCTACGAGGAAACTCGTGGAGTTCTGAAGGTATTCCTTGAGAACGTGATCCGTGATGCCGTCACATACTGTGAGCACGCCAAGAGAAAGACCGTCACAGCCATGGACGTCGTCTATGCTCTGAAACGCCAAGGACGTACCCTCTACGGTTTCGGAGGATAAGAAGCTCTCGCCACGAGACACCCACTTCAAATCTAACCCAACGGCCCTCTTTAGGGCCACAATTGGAACGTAAACGAATACAAAAAGATTTCATTATTGAATAAATATGTTGTGATGTATTGTTTTGTATTGTTTTAGCAGTCATCAAGGTGTTAGTAGATGACTGATGTGGTATTTTTCTGGAAAGGGACGTGTAAGGAATCAAAGTGATGGTGTAGTGTAGGTGGATGATGTTGGTGGCTGATGCTCGTCAATGCTTGTCAATCTCACCATGTTACTGTGTTCAAGGGTTCAGTTTTGCCGGGTTGTTCAGACCAGTGAATCAGTGGATGCTTTGGCGATTTGCCAGACAGACCCGACGCGGTGGCGTTGTTCGTTGTGTGGCGCGAGCGCGAAAATTCAAATATGACCTTGCGACGACGGCGTCGTTGGTAAGGCAAGATTGTGGTGTGATGGAGGGGACTACGAGCCAGAGATAGGGAGCAACGGGTCGATGAGCAATCAAGAAAGCATTAGTGCTATTGTCAGGCAGAAAGTAGCTGTTATAACCGCAAGATATCAGTAATTATGGGAATTGGTATAACTAGACCGTCAATGGGACCTCAGGAAATTTCGCTGGCTTGTGCAGAAAATAGATATTTCCCGCCATCAAGAGAGAAAAAAAGAAGACCACCCCAGCAAAACTTTGATAATTTGGTCACCACCATTTGGTCTCACCTTTTCCTTACACTAAGCCGATCCTTTTTTTTTTACTAGTTTCTAAACATTCTCCTGAAATTTTCACGGACTCTATACATATTTTGCATAAAAAAATCATTTATTCTTCAAGATAACATCAATGCAATGAGACCTTGGTCTCGAATGTATTCGTTTGTGATCATATGTGGCCCTAAAGAGGGCCGTTGGGTTAGTTGAATGCAGCCAGCAGAGTGGGCGCTTATTCCTTGTCACCGGCGGTCTTCTTGGGCAGGAGAACGGCCTGGATGTTGGGCAGAACACCTCCCTGTGCGATGGTCACACCGGAGAGGAGCTTGTTGAGCTCCTCGTCGTTGCGGACGGCAAGTTGCAGATGGCGAGGGTTGATTCTGGTCTTCTTGTTGTCACGAGCAGCGTTACCGGCCAACTCGAGAACCTCAGCAGCGAGGTATTCGAGAACAGCGGCTAGGTAGACTGGAGCTCCACCTCCGATACGTCCAGCATAGTTGCCCTTGCGGAGCATACGATGAAGACGACCGACTGGGAACTGAAGTCCAGCACGCGATGAACGCGACTTCGACTTTCCTCCGGTCTTGGCTTTGCCTCCTTTTCCACGTCCAGACATGATCGACGACGACTGAGAACTGCGAGATGAACACTCACGGGATAGTTATTGGCAGAATTGGCGCAGCGATTATACACGAGGCCGTGACCATGCTCCGCCCAGCGAACACGAGAGGCGGGACATGTCCCGTGAGTGACCAGTCGGTGGGCGGAGCATAGTCATACGGCGGGTATTTAGAGGGGCTGCGACGAGCGTACCCTTATCCACTGATTGCCAGTGACCACCTCGTGTTCAACGTCCAACCATGCCACCAAAGCCGTCCGCAAAGGGAGCCAAGAAAGCCGCGAAGAGCCAGAAGGCCAGCCGTACTGGAGACAAGAAGAAGAAGCATAAGCGCAAGGAGAGCTACTCGGTCTACATCTACCGTGTGCTCAAGCAGGTGCACCCCGACACTGGTGTCTCCTCCAAAGCGATGTCCATCATGAACTCGTTCGTCAATGACGTCTTCGAGCGCATCGCTGCTGAGGCATCTCGTCTGGCGCACTACAACAAGCGCTCCACGATCTCGTCTCGCGAAATCCAGACCGCCGTCCGACTGATCCTTCCCGGAGAGCTCGCCAAGCACGCCGTCTCCGAGGGCACAAAGGCCGTCACCAAGTACACCTCCAGCAAGTAAATCCTTACTTGCTTTGGTGCACGTTCATCTAACCCAACGGCCCTCTTTAGGGCCACATTTGCTATGAAAAACGAATACAAGTGTTCAGTGTTGATAAACGTATTGAATAAAGTATCATTTTCTATTGTGGCTTCTATGGAAATATGAAGACAGTAGTTTGTACGAAAAAAAAACGGAAATCTCTCAGTCGGTGGAACTTGGCGTGGATGTTTAGCTTAACTGTTGCGATGCGTGGCTCAATTGTTGGTGAAAGTATGTAGAGCATTGATTCACTAAATTAGTGGGGTACATCCTTCATCACTGGAGATCGAGATTTTTCTAGTATTGGAGCGTTTTCATGCAAAACTGCTATAGGAGGAAACTGTAAGTGTTTACGTTATTGCAGATCAGGTTCTTTCTTTGACCGTCATCGAAACGGACCACTGCGAGATCGAGTGTTCTCTTAGAACCAATAGGAAGTAGACCACCGTCTTTTTGTAGACAAAAATGTGTGCTCTTTCCCATGACCAGATCACATCTGTATCCCGCTCTTTCGAGGGGATTCCAAAAATTATTCAATACTCATAATTGCACCTTTGCACGGAAATCTTTAGTAAAAGGCGAAAGATTTTCTCGGTTAAATGCAAAGGAGCCAGAGTTGATCAGGCCACCCATAGCGATTATGGCACTATCCGATGCGTCGTATGTTGGGCCGGTTTGAACTGACGCTCGCTGGATAGGTAAATTCTTATGAGATATCAGGAAAAAAACGTTCATGAAAACAACAAACTTATTTATTAATTCAATCCCCAGTTCAGCTTTCAGTGAAAATTCCAATTTTTTCGTCCATACAGCACGTTCTACTCGGCACCATCACGGGGCCACCGTACCCATTTCCAATTTATTCGTTACGAATCTGTATGTTGTCTGTCAGAGTGGTCTTCCATGGATTCTTTCCATTTAGTTTCTCTTGTTTTATTCCCCCCGTGGGGGTGGGCCGATCCCAACAGCAGTGCAACGCTGGGCCGACCCGTGACGAGGGGCGAGCAAGCCCACGACCTCGTCCGGTCTCAAAAATCAAATAACCTTAACGAGATTCATTCGAATCTCTATCGAAGGTTAATTCGATAAGAACAGAAACTAAACTTTGATCTTAGCCAAAAGGCCGAGAAGCGATACTGCTACAGCCGGTAACCACTTAGCCATTACGTGCCGCAACGTATATCTCGTAGGTTTGTTGACTATCACTACTACACCTTAATCGAGTTTCACCTCTGATTGTTCACCTATTCGAAGGAACGAGATCTATCGAAAATTTTCCAAGATGTCATGAATGAAAATTGTTGAAAATTAGGAAAATAAAAGCGATAATAGCTTCTGTGTAATCATGAACTGCTAAGTGTTCTATAGTTGGAAACTGTCGAATTTTTTGGAAGATTTTATGGAATCTTGCTCATGATGTTGCATCCGCATCGGCGAATTCTCAAAAATTGCTTAACAGCGATATTTTGATTTTTGCGATAAGGCGACACATTTCATCCCATGGGTTTACATCAACAAATGAGCTAGAAGGGATATTCTATCAAGCGTTAAGTTCTCGTTCCTTCGGATAGTGATCATAAATGTGAGAAAAAATGGACTTCTATGCCCGTGCGTAGAATTTTTGGCACCATGTTGCTAAAGGAAAGGCGGGGGATAAGCACGGCAAGGGTCACCGATGAATAGGCTCCGCCCTCTCACGCGAAGAGCGTATAAAAGGCGATAGGGGCCGATTTGCTTACCGTTCGCTCCGAACACTCAGCATCAGCATCAATGGCTTCGTACCAAGCAAACCGCTCGTAAATCTACTGGTGGCAAGGCCCCACGAAAGCAGTCGGCTATCAAGGCCGCTAGCAAGTCAGCACCGGCTACCGGTGGTGTAAAGAAGTTCATCGTTACCGTCCAGGTAAAGTCGCTCTTCGTGAAATCCGTCGTTACCAGAAGTCGACCGAGCTGCTCATCCGCAAATTGCCGTTCCAGCGCCTGGTCCGTGAAATCGCTCAGGATTTCAAGACCGATCTGCGTTTCCAATCGTCGGCTGTGATGGCTCTGCAAGAGGCTTCTGAGGCATACCTCGTCGGTCTCTTCGAAGACACCAACTTGTGCGCTATCCACGCCAAGCGTGTCACCATCA